TCTCTGTGTATTTCTACTTGATACTGGATCAGTGAAACTCTCCTCACGTCCCAGCCCTGATGAAGACGACATTTTTTTTATTTTGTCCTTTTTAATTTTTCAGCTCCACTGGTTTTTCGTTTCCGATTCGTCCTCTGGACGCAGCGTTTAAATATCGCCACGGAGTCTCCGAGACGCTCCGTCGACTGCCACCTCCTCGACCTGCTGTCAGACGGACAGGTGAATGTCTGGAGCCTGAAGAGCTGCGGTGAAGAAGACAAATCAGGCTCCTCCTCATCTTCCTCCTCCTCATCTTCCTCCTCCTCCTCATCTTCCTCCTCTTCCTCAGCTGCTCTTCTCAATTCCCTCCAGTGCAGAGTCTGGTCTCTGAGAGTCACCAAAGAGAAGAGCTTTACTCCCCGTCTCCCTCCACTCCATCTGGAGTAACGACTCGCTGATCCTTCTGTTTGTCCTCTCTCACCTCCCTCTCTGTCATTCTCCATCTCTCTCTCTCTCTCCCTCTCTCTCTCTCTTCCCTTTTGTCCAAACTGCTAAACCGTTGGCTCTCTCCCCGTGGACCCTCCCTCCCTAACTGTGTGCCTGTATCACTTCACGTCTGCTGTTAAATCTTCCGTTCCTGCTCCGGGGAGTCTTTCTGTTTCCAAAGTCCACGACTCTCCTCTCACTTACTCACCCTCCCTCCCTCCTCCTCCTCTTCCTCCTCCTCCTCCTCCTCCCGTCTGCAGCACTCACTCCTCTTTTCGCCTTCGACTCTGTGTTGTTGTTTCAAACTTGGAGAAAACAAGTTTTCTCATAAGTCACGGAGATCTGATCCTCATTATTAAACTTTTTTCTTTTTTTTACCTCCATCATCAATATATAAAAACAAACGCCCCCTGTTGTTGCAATAATATCTCTGCCTCTTTTTTTCTCTTTTCTTCAACCAGTCGTTACTGTCGCTCTTCTCCTTTTTGGCCCAAACTCGCGGTCGAAGGTGATCATTATCACCAGAACTCTGCGTTTACAACGTCACCTCTGATTGGTCATATTTTTCCAACATCTGTTTGTGTCACTTTTTTTTTGTTAAACACAGGTTTTTGTGCACAAACTCGTCCGCCGTCACCGTGTTATTAAACGACCGACGACATCACACAAACGCTGAACTTTTCTCTGTGGAAACGAGCGTTCAGTGACGACCGTTATTAGGAATTTGATTTGTCTTGTCGTTCAACTTGACCAAATAATAACCACGACGGCCGGATTAAAGATCTGTCTCAGTCCAGTGTCAGTACGGAGATAAAAACCAGAGGAAAAACAAGAGGAAAAAAAAGAAAACGTGACAAAAAAATGCAAACTACAGGAGCTAAAAGATTTGGAAAAGTAAAAAAAATAAAAAATAAAAAATAAAATAAAATAAAATAAAACAAATAAATAAATAAATAAAATAAAATAAAATAAAATAAAATAAAATAAAATAAAATA